TGCAGCATATGGATTAACATGGAATTTTAATTGAGCATTAAAAAGCTACGCTGTTGTACTTTTTTCGGATATGCAAAAGAAAGATTTTATATACTTTTTTTTTGTTGTGTTAAAATTTAATATGCAAATTTTTATTAATTTTTTTCCTTTGCAAATTTCCTTTCTCGTTGGCTTAGCTTTTCATCATCATCGTCATTTTCTTATATTTTGCCAACTATTTTTTATAATTTCATCGTCTTTCTATTTTATTTGTTAGTAAAAGAGAAAATTAATTTTCATTGTCACGTCATTTCAAATAAAAGTAAAAATAAGACGAAAAAAAAAAATAAAAATGAAAACTGTGCGTTGAAAAACGTAAGTAAAAGTAAAGAAAGTTTTGCTCATAAGTCCTTAATACTTTCATCAGCATAAATTTGAAAGTCACAAATGCACTTTTCAAAAAGGAATTTAATTACTTTTAATTACATTTAAGTGCGTCACGAACGAATTGTTGAGAACGTTGAGCGAAATCCGCACATTTCAACGTAATCGCCGGAGTTGACTCAAAAGAGTAGGTGCTGAAGAAGGAAATATTTAAGATTGTTTTAATAGGACAATGACAATGACAATGACAACGACAATAGCAGAAGAAACCTGAGCATTTTATGAATTATTAAATATAAAATTCAAATAATTTTTTAATATATATCACAATTACTGAGATAAGCAGTTACGCCAATTATGCCTAGTGATAGAATATTAAATATTTTTCTTACTGAATAAATTTACTGAAGTATCTATAAATATTAAATCTTTTCATTAGTACCTTGAGATAAAGGATTTCTATAAAACGCATATAATAGAGAAATCTAGATTCTATTAATTCTTGATTGTGACAATATAAATCTAGACAGATTTATATAATACATAAATATATAATATATATTACATAATAATGTATAACCAATATAAATTAATTTCTTGCTACTGCTACTTTTCTTGTTTAACTAAAAGACTTTTGTGTCAGAATAGCAAAAATCTTTCAAACTGTCTTTTGTTCTACCTTTCGAAAGATTTTTTACTATCTTTGCCTGAATTGTCCTGTAAGTTATTCCAATACCATTGTGATAGGATATACATAAGGACTTTTATCCCTTTTCGATATTTTAAAAACCATTCTGCTCTTTAATGAATTTGATAAAGGTTTCAATTAGGTTAAAGACAAAATTCGCTTGATTATTTAATGATACGTTTTGTTTAATATACTCTTGAAATCTTACAATCCATGTACGATTTCAAGATATATATATAGCATTTATATATATAATATATAATATATAAGATATATATATATATATAAAGATATATATAATGCATTTTTATTCTCCTTCTTATCATAACAAAAAACTAAAGCCATTAATTTAAAGAAATCAGTCTTCTCTAAAACTTTTCTAGGAAATTAAAGGGGATTACAAGAAGAAAAAGATCTTCTCTCTACTTTTCTTCATAAGAAATTACGTCTTCTCTCTATCCTATTTCTAAATGCCTAAAAGGGATTGCACTTTATTCTGTAGCTTTTCTGATAAACTGTAAGTGACCGCATTCTCTGTTACTTTTCTGATAAACCGAAAGGGACTACAAGGGTGAAGGAATCTTCTCTCTAATTTTCTCGGTAAGAGGATAAGATGTATCTCTCTCTCTTTTTTGAAAAACTAAAAGTGATCACACTTTTCTCTCTATATTTTTTGATAAACTGCAAAGAGTCACACTCTTCTCTCTATCACACTCTTCTATAAATTTTCTGACAAATTAAGAGAGATTACACACTTTTCTCTATTTTACTTGATAAACTGAAAGTGATGCCCAAAATGTCATTGAAGAATATCTTTACCAATATATCTTAGCAGTGTTTGCACTCCTTTTTTAAGCCCCTCTTGATGATATTTGACTTTCGCTTTTTAAGCACTAAAAGGTTTTAAAGACATTTTAATTTTTAAAATTAAAAATTCTAATTCTAACTGGGTCATCACTTTAACACTACTTATATTGCTTGTAGTAATGGAGTGTCAGTGGTTGTACTACGTATCTATTAAGGGCCATTATTTAAAGTTAATTGGGCTTTAATGTACTAGGCTCCCATTTCAACTAAGCCTACCCTATCCATAAGGATAACAATCTTAAATTTTATTTTATTTTATACACAAATAATTAAATTGAAATCCGCCTGCTGTGAATATGTGAAAAGATTAATTTATCCCGGCAGTTTAAATTTTTTTATATACTCGTTTTTTTATATAATTTTTTTTTGTATGGGTTTTATATGCTTTTTAACGTTGCAAAACGAAAATACATAAATTATTAATTCTTTTATTTAAAAATCGAAAAAAACAGTTTGTTGTGTAAAAAGAGCAGTGATTTTTAACAAACTTAAATGTCCGAAATGCTTGAAAAGTCCATTAAATTTTGCTTTTGTAAATATTTTCATTAAATTAAAAACTGTAAGTGAACTTACAAGTACTTGCCTTGCCATTCAATCTTATCTGAAAGGTTGCTCTGCATACAAATTGAAAACAAATTGCAGCCAATCAATGAATAATCTATAAGCGCAGAGTTGTGAATTGCAATCCAATGGAAACCGTTTAAAAAATTTCATTTCGGACGCATTCAAGTGAGAAAAGCCACGCATTCTCAATGAAAACAAACCAAGATTTACAACGGCGCATTTATCGAATCTGGTACAGGATCAGACTCAAGCACAGGTTGAGGTTCAGGCAGTGCAGCAAAATTCAATAAAGTAAATGGCATTCTTTACATAAAGGCTTCACACAAGCACTAAATTGAAAAATTATATGACCAAACTAGTGAGGTTGGGGAGTAAAAGGAATTTTACCACATTAAAGTATTTAATTTTATTAAGTTTTGTGGTTGCGTTTTATAATTTTGATGTTTTGCAGTTTCATTTTAAATACAAATTATTTTAAATTTATTTATTTTTTTTTCAACAAAATTAAAGCACAGTATCTTTTCTCATCGACCGCCTAAGAATTTTTGTATTCATATTTTTGAGATATGAGAGATGTTTTTGTGAACTTAAAAGAAAAATTACTAATAAAATTTATTCTAACTGTTGTAAATAATAAAAACTATTACTAACAATTGGCTTGAAACTATCTATATGTAACTTAAACATAATCATTTATTTCATATATTACACTGTAAAACACAAATACGCTAAACTATACACAAATCCTTGTAAATAATTTGTGAAAATTATATTGCTTTCAATTATCCTTTTTTTTTGTGTATATCATAAATGAAAATTATTTTAAAATATATTTTAAATATTTTACTATAGTTAAATGGTTCCGTAAAACCAGTGCCACCTCCACGCGATCATTTGCGTGTCGAAAAAGATGGTCGCTTGGTTAATCATCGTTCACCAGCGCCGCCACAATTGCCCGATCGACGCATGGGAAACAATGCGCAACCGCAGCAAATTGCACAAATTGTGGAACCAACATTAGAACAATTGGATAGTATCAAAAAATATCAGGTATGTTGAGACGATATATGATTTTTACAATAATTTTTGATATACTTTTTATCTATATGACACCTATCCAATATATACAGTATTATTGTTGTAATTATTTTAATTATTATCACATAGAATATATCTTCTGATATTTCCAAAATAATTTTTCACACAAACGATGAATTAACAAACTGCCATTACAAAAAATTAATGATAACACCTTTCAAACAAGTGTTTGTTTGATATAATCGAATTAGTGTTCCCAAATATATGGGTACTGACGCCAACAGGTGACAAAAAATGGCAGATACTTTTTAAACCACCTAATATTATGTACATAAATATAAGAATTCGTATGAAAAAGATTTGTATTTATTATTTCATTCAAATTCATTCAAATTGAATCCCTAGTGTTTCTGCTCAAGGTGGCGAAAAAAGAACAAGTTCAGTAAACAATTTGGGTAGATAAATGGTGAAATAACAATCACTACTCATTGATATTGTGATTACAATACTTTCTGAATATTAAATTATATTATTACTTACTTACTTACTTAGTTGGCCATTACAGACGTGGGCCGTCCTTGCCCGCGTCGAGTAGCCTCCGCCAGTCAGTCCGATTAATTGCTTTCTGATGCCAGTTGGTAGTACAGAGCGCCCCCAAATCGCTGGTTACCTGGTCCTTCCACCGAAGATGCGGACGTCCTCTACTGCGTTTTCCACCTGCGGGTACCGAATCAAATATCTTTCTAGCCGGAGCACTTTCTTCCATTCGCACGACATGATCAAGCGCTTAACTATGTCAATGTCGCGGTATAGCTCATACAGCTCATCGTTCCATCTAATTCAATATAATTCGATTCGAATTATATTATTATAGTGCCCGTTTTTAAGAATTTGCATTTGTATTTTCGATCGCCGCTATGACTGCGTCTTCCTGGCGGTGTTATTTTGGGTGAACGCAGACCCCAGTGCTTTTTCAATAATTTGAGGACTTTCCATATGGTAAAATCGACTGTTTTGAATGTCCCTGATCCCATTCATCATGAAATGCTCTTCATGACTCATAATGATATAATTGTTCTATGTTTGAATCAGCGGATATAGAATGTCTCCTATGTTTATGACAAGAAAATAAAATTTAATTGGTTCTTACGTTTATCTTCTAATAACTTCGGTACTAAAAATCGAGTACGCTGTTTTCTATAAGGTAAAAAGCTGAATTCTTATAGCATAACTCATTCAGCGCTTAAGCTACACAGATATATATTTCAAATTTTACCTAAAAGTATGCAGCACTTTATTAATGACAAACATTTGTGATTCAATCCTATTCAAACTGTAGACATTACAATATCTCTTTTTCTTTTTACAAAAATTTGAAGAATAAATTTTCAGTCTAAGAAACTGAAAATTTAGCGATTTGAAAACCCTGAAGTTCCAAGTATAGATTCGAAAATTGTGCATTATTATTTTTGATTAAATATATATTATATTAAGTAAATATATGTTATATTTTCAGTTTAAGAAACTGAAAATTATCGATTTGAAAAGCCTGAAATTCCACGTACAGATTTGAAAATTATATATTACTACTTTTGAGTAAATATATATTATATTAAATTTTAATACCAACAAAATATATATCAACATTTTAATATGTTAACGATATTTTAAGTGTTTTGTTCATTATTACAAATACAAAGTAGAATTAGTTCGATTTGGATACTATTCGGAATCTATAGATTCATTTAGACCAGTTGTCTCATTTTGTCATAAAAATTTGTTTGTTGTTATATGGGTTAGATTAGGTTGTATCGGCATCCAAAGGGATCCACCTAGGCTTATTGGCCCATTGTTTTACCGTATAAGTAATACACTTAAAGGTTTAAAACCAACTTGAATCTTTATTGCTAAATAGAAATAGTGATTTTTGAAATAATATAGAAATATTAATCAGGCTCGAGATGGCTTTCAAGAGAAGGTTTTTAAGCTGACTAAAATCCATTGGAAGTGGATCAACATATAGATTTCACAGTTCTTAAGTAGAACTTGTATTAGTTTTGAGTTTATGTTAAAATTAATGTAATATTTATTTCGCGATAAGAACATTTTACTTTCGTTTTCGAAAATTTTGGAGTAAACATGATCTATGGTAGAACCATGAGCTTGGGAATAGAGTGGTATAGTAAAAGTAGCAGCAACAATATACTTTTATTGGAAATGTATGTCGTTGTTAACAGTATGTTGTTATGTCACTTGGCTACCAAGACCTCTTCTCCAGATGATGAATAGGCACCAGTAATTATTTTATTAAATAATTAACGCAATGGAGAAAAACAATTTTAATGCAACGCTCTCATTGTCTGTCTGTATTAAGCATTAAAATACATTTTTTAATCTAAACTTAATTACAAAATAAAGAAAATCTCAGTTAGATAGTTATCTAAAGTATTTACTTCCTTAAAAATAAATATAATTAAATTTTAAATAAAAAAAAATTAGATTTAAAAGAATTAATTGTTATCTTAAACTTGTTAGTAAAAATTTCCGTTTATACGAAATTTAATTTTTAATTTGCTCTTTTTATAGTTTTTCTATTTTGATTTTCCATTTTTATTTTCTATTTTTATATTCTATTTTTATTTCTCTGAAACAATTAATCTTGGCCCATTTTCACATTCTAGCTCTAGTAACCAGTCTTTTTGGAACCAGTAGTAGCGACAGACAAAATAACTGCCAGTGTTGTTTTGACACCATTCAAAGACTTTTGTTTTCATTTTTTTTTATTGTTTTTATTGTTTTTAAAACCAAATTTTTCCTTTATAATGCAGATTCTTTTGTTTGAAAATTGTTTGAAATTTCAAAGTTATTTCTACACAAAAGCAACAAGAGCAGGCATAGAGACAGGGACAGTAGAGCTGTGGAGGGATGAACCATGGCCAAAGAATTAATTGTTTATGAGAAAATAAAAATTTAGAATATTAAAAATAGAAAATAAAATGGAAAATCAAAAATAGAAAAAATATAAAAGATAGCAAATTAAAATTAATTTCGTATAAACGGAAGGAGGAAATTTTAAAATTTTTACTAACAAGTTTTTTAATGTGTATTAACTAAAAATTTGCAGGAACATTCATCTTAAATTGTCTAATTTTTCTATTTGAAAACCTCGGTTCCAGTGTCAAAATATTTCTTTTCATTTTTAGGAAGTAACATGGGTAACTTTAATTTTAGTAAATACTTTAGATAACTATCTAACTAAGATTTCTTTATTTTGTGTAATTAAGTTTTAGTTAAAAATATATTTCAAATGATTAATACAGACAGACAAATTGCCCTGAGAGCGTTTAGAGGAATGACTATGTAAATTGTTGATTTTTTCTCTCGCGTTTGCGTTGTTAATTATTTAATAAAATAATTACTGGTGCCTATTCATCATCTGGAGAAGAGGTCTTAGTAACCAAGTAACATAACAACATACTGTTAACAACGACATACATTTCCAAAAAAAGTATTTTGTTGCTGCTACTTTTACTATATCACTCTATTCCCAAGCTCATGGTTCTAGATCATGTTTACTCCAAAATTTTCGAAAACGAAAGTAAAATATTCTTATTCCGAAATAAATATTACATTAATTTTAACATAAACTCAAAACTAATACCAGCTCTTCTTAAGAACCGTATTATATCTATATGTTGATCCACTTCCAATGGATTTTAGTCAGTTTTAAAACCTTCTCTTGAAAACCATCGCGAGACTAATTAATATTTCTATATTATTTCAAAAATCACTATATCTATTTAGCAATAAAGATTCAAGTTGATTTTAAACCTTTAAGTTTATTACTTATGCGGAAAAACAATGGCCCAATAAGCCTAGGTGAATCCCTTTAGATGCCGGTACAACCTAACCTAACCTATATAACAACAAACAAATTTTTATGACAAAATGAGACAACTAGTCTAAGTGAATCTATAGATTACGAATAGTATCCAAATCGAACTAATTCTATTTTGTATTTGTAATAATGAACAAAACACTTAAAATATCGTTCACATATTACAATGTTGATATATATTTTGTTCGTATTAAAATTTAATATAATATATATTTACTCAAAAGTAGTAATATATAATTTTCAAATCTGTACGTGGAATTTCAGGCTTTTCAAATCGCTTAATTTTCAGTTTCTTAGACTGAAAATATAATATATATTTACTTAATATAATATATATTTAATCAAAAATAATAATATATAATTTTCGAATCTATACTTGGAACTTTAGGGTTTTCAAATCGCAAAATTTTCATTTTCTTAGACTGAAACTTTAGTCTTCAAATTTTTGTAAAAAGAAAAAGAGATATTGCAATGTCTACAGTTTGAATAGGATTGAATCCCAAATGTTTGTCATTAATAAAGTGCTGCATACTTTTAGGTAAAATTTGAAATATATATTTGTGTTGAATATAGCTTAATGGTTGAATGAGTTATGCTATAAGAATTCAGCTTTTTACCTTATAGAAAACAACATACTCGATTTTTAATACCGAAGTTATTAGAAGGTAAACGTAAGAACCAATTAAATTTTATTTTCTTGTCATAAACATAGGAGTAATTTTATATCCGCTGATCCAAACATTGAACAATTATATCATTATGAGTCATGAAGAGCATTTCATGATGAATGGGATCAGGAACATTCAAAACAGGCGGTTTTACCATATGGAAAATCCTCAAATTATTAAAAAAGCACTGGTCTCTGCGTTCACCCAATATAACACCGATCGAAAATACATTCGCAAATGCTTAAAAACGGGCACATTACGTCATTTGAGCTAAAGTCTAATATTCAGGACATTCGAATCGAATTATATCGAATTAGATGGAACGATGAGCTGTATGAGCTATACCGCGACATTGACATAATTAGGCGCATAAAAATTCAGCGGCTACGCTGGCTTGATCATATCGTGCCAATGGAAGAAAGTGCTCCGGCTAGAAAGGTATTTAATTCGGTACCCGCAAGTGGAAAACGCGGTAGAGGACGTCCGCATCTTCGGTGGAAGGACCAGGTGACCAACGATTTGGGGGCGCTCGGTACTACCAACTGGCATCAGAAAGCAACTAATCGGGCTGACTGGCGGAGGCTACTCGACGCGGGCAAGGACGACCCACGTCTGTAATGGCCAACTAAGTAAGTAAGTAAGTAATAATATAATTTAATATTCAGAAAGTATTGTAATCACAATATCAATGAGTAGTGATTGTTATTTCACCATTTATCTACCTAAATTGTTTACTGAACTTTTCTTTTTTCGCCACCTTGAGCAGAAATACTAGGGATTCAACTACCCTTTTATAGATTTCCCTATGTAAAGCTCTTTATATATAAAGTCAATTATTATCAGGGATGTTCTTAAATATTTGAATTTGAATGAAATAATAAATACAAATCTTTTTTATACGAATTCTTATATTTATGTACATAATATTAAGTGGTTTAAAAAGTATCTGCCATTTTTTGTCACCTGTTGGAGTCAGTACCCATATATTTGGGAACACTAATTCGATTATATCAAACAAACACTTGTTTGAAAAGTGTTACCATTAATTTTTTGTAATGGCAGTTTCTTAATTCATCGTTTGTGTGAAAAATTATTTTGGAAATATCAGAAGATATATTCTATGTGATAATAATTAAAATAATTACAACAATAATACTATATATATTGGATAGGTGTCATATAGATAAAAAGTATATCGAAAATTATTGTAAAAATCATATATCTTCTCAACATACCTGATATTTTTTGATACTATCCAATTGTTCTAATGTTGGTTCCACAATTTGTGCAATTTGCTGCGGTTGCGCATTGTTTCCCATGCGTCGATCGGGCAATTGTGGCGGCGCTGGTGAACGATGATTAATCAAGCGACCATCTTTTTCGACACGCAAATGATCGCGTGGAGGTGGCACTGGTTTTACGGAACCATTTAACTATAG